ATAGAAATCCTCCCAAGTAGAGTCGCCAAAAAACTGTAGGGATTAATTTCAAGCCTTTAAATCCCACTAGCTTGAACCCCACTGTGATCATACACTAAAGTACGGTGGCGTCCAAAAGGGAATAAGATAGAGCAAAAGAGTCGCCAACAAGTTTTAGGAACTTGTAAACTGTTCATAGGATGAAGGTTACACCCCTTAACGATCCAAGAGATCGTCAACTCCATAAGGTCTAGAACCAAATAAGGGTTCAGGGATGATGGTAAAACCCAACCTAAAAGAGATTGAACCTGCCTTAATAATAGGCCTCTACTTTATTATGATCCTATTCATGTGCGCTTTTTAATTAACATGCAATCAATTGAATTAACCCTAAACTTGTTTATCTATGTTGGTTGAATTTAATGCACAAATAAATCTAATGTTGGCGATCACTTGAAATTATAATCAAATTACCCCTAAACAAGATTATTAAATATCTTATTAAGCATGATTACAAGTACCAAATTCCCTTTAAACATGCAATAAAAGGTGTGATCAAGCAATAAAGAATAAATAAGCATCAAGCAACATAATAATCAAGACAATTATAATCATCATGATAATAATCATCATAAAATAATAATATTCACAATCATCATAAATTATAACAATTATAATCATAATCATGTTCATGAATCATAATTAAAAATAATCATATCAACATTAAAGCATAATAAGATCCTAGGCATGATACTAATAAGATTAATAACAAACCCTAGCATGTCACTAAGCATATAAAAATCAAATATTTAACCTTAACATGATACTAACAATCATAAATATTAGGAAGAGAATAGGAAGCATCACAACAATCATATTTAATATTAAAAATACCCTAGACATGATACTAGGAATATCATAATAACAATATAAACATGATCTCTACATCATAATATCAATTAAAACAATAAAGTACTTACTTTGATGCTTCGTACCTCTTTCTTATAACAAAATACTCACGTTAGTAACTTCAAGGAAAATAATAATCAAAAATTAAATTAAATAATTGAAATAGAGATTTGGGACCAAACCCTCATAAATTAAACCTTTCACGTTTAGGGCGAAGGCAACTTCGAATTTGGCTAGGTGTTTCTAAGTCTTGTGAATGAGAAGAATTGGTGAATGATAGATGTAGATGATTCTTGATTGTAGGTGAATGAAAACGGAGTTTTTAATACGATATTTATAGTGAAAATTAGCCAAAAAAGATAATTTAACAAAACAGAGTCTGACGCTCAGGAAACAGAACTAGCGCCAAGCCTGGCTAGCTGGCGCCAAGCACCAATGGCTAGCGCCTGGCGCCAAGCCTGGTTTCAGGCGCCAAGGCCTGGGGTTGCACGCCAGTCTTGATTTTAATGCGTTTTTAAAACTCTGAAAAGTCAACAAAGTCAATTTATCAATGCTAATTGAATTAGGAATGAAAAGAACCTTCTAGAAGAATCTAGAAGACTAAAACCATTCCTAATTGCTTTAGGAATGATAAATCATATTAGGCCCTCCCTAAGATCATTGGGCCGTACATAAAGCTCAAACCAGGTCCAGTTTGGTAAATTGGCCATAACTTCCTCAATATTCATCGGAATTGGGCTTATAATATATCGTTGGAAAGACCTTTGCAAGCCCCATCCAAATACACTATTATTGGACCCATATCATGGACCAACCAAACTGGATTTGGTTTTTTCTTAAATTAAAGTTTTTAAAAACAAAGAGAAGAGAAAAGAAACAAAACTTTCCGCAACACTAGACCTTTCAACACTTTCGTTTCATTCGATTATGATTCGACGTGAAAGGTACTCATCACTGGGTTTGGTTTTGGGGAGACACAAACGGGTGTCTACAACTAGCCTCCCCATTCTTTCACTATTCCTTCCTTTAAGCACTCCAAGGAGACCATATAATACCCAAAGTTTTATACTTAAACTAAGGCGTGAAAGGTATAATTGACTGAGGGTTTGGACTAATTCAATTCTAATTTTTATTTAATTTAATTGTTTCCATTTTATTTACTTTTATTGAAGTTACTAACATTTTATTCATGATGTTGCAATTCAAGGAATTGCGGAAAGTGACTAATTAATCACTTAATTACTCTTATTCTTATTCTTGTTGCTAGTATCATGATTAGGGTTATTATTATTATTTGATTTGACTAACGTTATTATTGTTAAATTTCTTCCAATATTAATGTTTATTCTATTATTATTTATGAGCACCATATTGCATGTTAAAGGGAATATGTAATTGAAAATCACGCCTAATAAGATAATTAGGACAACCAGTTTAGGTTCCTTTTTAATCTTGTTGTTTAATTCAAGTGATCACAACATTTTAGAATTATGTGTTGCATTAATATTAAACCAATTTAGCTTAATAATAGTTAGGAGAAAATTGAATATTTTGTTTGCATGCCTTTGAGATTGCAGGAATCTCTTTTCACTATAAGAATCGAGTAGAGGCCAATACGAGCGAATGTGACTCCATGACTCACTTCGTACCATAATACCCGATCCTCCTTTCGTGGTTCCGAACCATATGGAGTTAGTAATATCATGGATTATGAATGGGGTGTAACCTTCACGGGTCAATCGTTGATGCCTATCGTTGTCCCTTTATCGTGGTTGCCTTTTATGATCCGTGAATTGTTTACAATTCCTTAAAAACTTGTTGGCGGCTCCCTACTTTGCTTTGTCCCTAATAATTGTCCCAAATCGTAACGTTAATTCCCACTTCTTATGATTGTCAAGCATATTCACAACATGCTTTTAACGTAGGCGCACTTCAAGCGACGCCTACAGAAGGTCAAACATGTCAAGAGGCGATTTCACATGATTAGAGAATGGAAATCAGAAGGTGAAATCAGAATTTGCAAAGTTGGAACGGATGATAACGTAGCTGATCCACTTACTAAACCTCTTTTTCAAGTGAAGCACAACAAACACGTTGAGGCAATAGGAATAAAGCATATTGGAAACTGGCTTTGATTTCCTTATTTTAGTGATTTAATTAAATTTTGGACAATGTTGATGTAAAACACTATGATGTACCATTCAATTATGGAGTAATTAAATTTTCATGTGATTTAAATCACTTCGTTTCTATTTAATTGTGGTTTAGAATTAAATAATGAGTCCATTCGATTTAAAGAATATTCAAAATAGGGTATCAAGACAATGTCTTGGATAAAGAAACACCTATTAAGTGAACATTGAATATTTTAATCGAAAATTATCCCTAATAAAGGTCATTTATATGGTGGACGATTAACGACCAATAGAGATTAGTGTGTAGTATGATTTACAACAACGTTTCTTGTGTTATAAGGACGTAAATCATTTGCACAATTTGCCCCCTGTTTTCTAAGGTGAAGGGCAAAGAGGTGGGCAATGTTCATCTTAAATCCCTGTCCCTCATCCCCTAGCCTAAGGTAGCTACCTAGAATAGCCACCTCATCTGCTCTAACGTTGTTCGTCTCTATCCTACCGAAAATGGTCCATCCTGAAGACCTAGTCCAAAACCTAAGAACTGGTTGGTGTATTTTGTTGGCTCGGGCATGTTCCATTGAGTCAATGTTTTCCCCTGTCATAGCCAACCATAATTCCCCTGATGTGAAACTGTCGGGTTGTACAGTTAAACTTGTAGAAGGGAGTCCAAACTTTCTACCGAAACCGTCTAAAGTGAGACGGTGTGACCTGTTCAACAATATGTACACTACATGCGTCACTAGGCCATCCCTACCTTTCACTACATCAAATGAGCTAAGAAATTCTAAAGTAATGTCTTCAAATGTGTAGTGAATCATATTAAATAACTGAGTCATTCCAAGTTTAGCAAATAATGTACGGCATTCATTGTCAATACCTAACCTAGAGAGCAAAGCTCGGTCTATAAACCGAGTAGGAATTACCTTACTGTGTCGAAGTTCAAGCAACCTCGTTTTCTGGTTTGGGAACTCGGCGATGAAGTGGATTTTAGGATATTCCGGAATGCTCTCCAAATCTAAGTGTGGTTGTGCTTGAGCTGCCCTACCCCGTTTCCTTGTAAAGAAGGATGCCATGGATGATGAACTAGGAGCTTTCTCTCTTTAGAGTTTCTGAGAAGGTGGAATTTTGAGTGGAAAAGGTAGTTGTGGATGTTAGGAATGGATGAGGAAGATGAAGGATGAAGGAATTTTGTGTTTTGAGTGGGGATTTATGGTGGTTTTAGTAGAAGTGAGGAGTTAAGGTGTAGGGAATTTGGGGGTTTTTAGAGAGAGAAAGAGTGGAAGAGGGTTGAAGATGAAAGAAGGAATGAGAAAAGAAAGGGGAAAATCGGGTTTTTGATGGCTGGATTTTGCAGGTTTATCTTCGCGCCCGATCGGGCGGGTGCTTCCCGCTCTGATCGGGCGTAAAAGGTTTCTCATGTTTTGCTGCTGATGCTTATTCCTGAATTACTCGCGCCCGATCGGGCTGGCATAGCCCGGTCTGATCGGGCAAAGACTATTTTTTTTTTTTTTTTTAAAAAAAAATTTGGTGAGGCCTTAACCTCCTGTGCCTGATCGGGCACTCACTGCCCGGCCTGATCGAGCGTGGGGGGTAGAGTACGCAGCCAATGTAGCCGAACCAACAAATGCTCTCGCGCCCGATCGGGCTTATCGTGCCCGGTCTGGTCGGGCGGAGAGTAATCCCTGCTTCGCTCTTCTTTCTTCCAATCTCGTCTCTCGCGCCCAATCGGGCAGATACTGCCCGGTCTGATCGGGCGGAGAGTGAAAACCTTATTCTTCCACATTTGCTGAACTTTCTCGGCGTCCCACTTTTCCTATATGCTGATATTCTCTGAAGATAAATGACACACATAAAACTTCATAAAAAAAATAAAAAAATAAGAGAAATTAATTGAAAAACGGGGGGAATTAAAAGAAAAACGGGTTGCCTCCCGAAAAGCGCTTGTTTTTAAGGTCTTTAGCTTGACCATAATAATTCTCAAGAGCCTTGTGATGGGGATGAGAGTGTGATGTCCACCCCCTCATCGATGGGATCACCGACTCGGTATTGCTTCACTCTCTGTCCATTGACCTTGAAGGGTTCCCCTCTTGTGTTCTCCAACTCAATAGTGTCGTAGGGGAAAACTTTTCTGATCTTGAATGGCCCTGACCACCTAGACCGAAGCTTACCTGGGAATAATTTCAACCTAGAGTTGAAAAGAAGGACTTGATCCCCTTCTTTGAACTCTCTTCTCACATGGTTTTTGTCATGCCACCTTTTTTTTTTCTCTTTATACAACCTCGAACTCTCATAGGCTTCGAGACGAAGCTCATCTAATTCATTAAGTTGTAACAATCTATTCTCTCCCGCTGCTTTGGCATCAAAATTCAAGCTTTTTATGGCCCAGAATGCTCGGTGTTCTAGCTCGACGGGAAGATGGCACGGTTTTCCATAGACAAGCCTATATGGGGTTGTTCCGATTGGCGTTTTGAAGGCTGTTCGGTACTCCCAAAGTGCATCATCTAGCTTGACAAACCAGTCCTTTCTTGTTCGTGCAACAATTTTTTCGATGATGGACTTGATCTCTCGATTTGACACTTCAACTTGGCCACTAGTCTGTGGGTGGTAGCCAATTCCAAGCTTATGTTGCACTCCATATTTCTTCAACATCGCAACAAATCGATGCTCCAGAAAATGTGTTCCCCTGTCACTAATCAACACACGTGGTAAACCAAAACGAGGGAAAATAACTTTCTTGAAAAACTTACTTACCACACGAGCATCGTTGGTTGGAGTAGCAATTGCTTCCACCCACTTTGAGACATAATCAACGGCTAGCAAGATATAAATGTTGCCATAGGAAGAGGGAAACGGACCCATGAAATCTATCCCCCACACATCAAACAACTCAACCTCGAGTATGTTTTTAAGTGACATCTCGTTCTTCTTAGAAATTGTGCCCGTCCGTTGACATCTATCGCAAGCCGTGACATAGGCATATGTATCCTTGAACATAGTAGGCCAATAAAATCCTCATTGCAAGATCTTTGCAATTGTCTTCGAGGGGCCTGCATGTCCACCACAAGGTAAGTCATGGCAATGAGAAATTATATAATTTACCTCAATTTCTGGAATGCATCTTCGAATCATATAATCTGCGCATTGTTTGTACAAGAATGGATCATCCCAGAAATATCTCCTTGCCTCAGAAAGGAATTTCTTCCTCTGTTGAGAGGAGTAGCCATGAGGCATTGTACCTGTAGAGAGGAAATTAGCCAAGTCAGCAAACCAAGGTGATTCAGTCTGTAATAAAACTAATAAGTGCTCTACAAGAAAAGAATCATCAAAAGGAACTTCATCTCCATTTTCAGGGTCAAGGAGAAGACGGGAAAGATGGTCTGCAACAACATTCTCCGTTCCTGGTATCCTTGATTTCGATGTCATAATCCTGTAGTTGAAGAATCCATCGAATCAACCTAGGCTTGGCATGGGTTTTGGTCATCAAGTATCTCAATGCTGCATGATCTGTATGAATGATGACCTTAGAACCTACCAAATAAGAGTGAAACTTGTCAATTGCATATATTAATGCTAGCATTTCTTTTTCTGTCGTGGCATAATTCATTTGAGCAGAACTCAAAGTTTTGCTAGCATAGTATATTGCATGAAGCTTCTTCTCCTTCCTTTGCCCCAACACAGCTCCTACCGCATAATCACTAGCATCGCACATGATTTCGAACGGCAGACTCCAATCTGGGGGTTGCATGACAGGAGCAGATATCAAGGGTTCCTTTAACCTGTTAAAAGCTTAAAGACAAGCATCAGAAAAAACAAAAGGTACATCCTTGGCCAAGAGCTCAGTTAGAGGTCGAGCAATTTTCGAAAAATCCTTGATAAAACGACGATAAAAACCTGCATGTCCAAGGAAACTTCGAACTCCTTTTACAGAGTTTGGTGGTGGTAAGCGCTCTATGACCTCTATTTTAGCTCTGTCTACTTCAATACCCTTATTGGATACAACATGGCCTAAAACAATACCTTGTTGTACCATAAAATGGCATTTTTCCCAGTTTAAGATTAAATTGACCTCTTTACATCTTTGGAGCACCTTCTTCAAATTTGCAAGGCATACATCGAAGGTTGTTCCATAGACGGAGAAGTCATCCATAAAGACTTCCATAGAGTTTTCTATGAGTCCTGAGAAAATTGCCATCATACATCTCTGAAAAGTGGCAGGGGCATTATATAGTCCAAATGGCATCCTGCGATATGCAAAGGTGCCATATGGACATGTGAAAGTAGTCTTTTCCTGGTCACAGGGACGGATGGGAATTTGAAAGAAACCAGAATATCCATCCAAGTAACAGAAAAAGGAATGCTTTGCCAACCTTTCAAGCATTTGATCAATAAAGGATAGGGGAAAATGATCCTTCAGGGTGGCTTTATTCAATTTTCTATAATCTATACACATTCGCCACCCTGTAACAGTCCTAGTGGCGACTGGCTCACCCTTGTCATTTTTTACAACGGTCGTACCTCCCTTCTTTGGTACTACTTGTACAGGGCTAACCCACTTACTATCAGAGATAGGGTAGATTATTCCTGCAGCAAGCAATTTCAGAACCTCTTTTTTCACTACCTCCATCATATTTGGATTAAGTCTTCTCTGAGGTTCTACAGAAGAGGCATGATCGTTTTCAAGAATGATCTTATGCATACAAAAAGAAGGATTAATACCCTTGATATCGTCAATGGTGTACCCAATAACACTTTTATATGTTTTCAGAACATTGAGCAATTGCTCTAATTCTGTGTCCTTGAGTGCAGCATTAACAATAACAGGATATGAATTGTTTGGACCAAGATATGCATACTTTAAGTTAGAGGGGAGGGGTTTCAACACTAACTCGGGAGGATTAGAACTCTCCCCAATACTCATTACACTCAATGTCTCTCTGATTGGATTCATGTTCAGATCGGCCTTTGCTTCTTCAAGCAGCCTGACATACTCTCTTGACTCCCAATTTCCATCATCATCTTCCTTCCCTAATAGCACTTGTTCAAGAGCATCATCATTCTGATTCAAGGGAAGTTGCTCATTCTGCAGCTCATCGAGCACATCAACCTGACAAACAGTGTCTCCCATAGAAGGAGCACCCATAACATTCAAAAGTGAGTATTCCAATTTCTCATCACCTACTTCAAAAGTAATCTTACCTTTTTTCATATCAATAATTGCACCTGCAGTAGCTAAGAAAGGTCTACCAAGTATAATTGGAACATTCACATCTTCATCCATCTCCATCACAACAAAATCACAGGGTATGAAAAACGTACCTACGCGAAGAGGTACATCCTCAAGTACACCCAAAGGAAACTTCACTGACCTGTCTGTAAGTTGCAGGGATATGCGTGTAGGTTTGAGCTCACCCATTTGCAGCTTCTTGCATATGGACAGTGGCATGAGGCTTACACTTGCACCTAGATCACACAATGCCCTGTTAATTTCGATATCTCCAAGCTTCACTGGAATCGAATAGCTACCTGGATCTCCTAATTTCTTAGGGAGAGTGTTCTGCAAAATAGCACTGCACTCTGCATTCAAAGCAACTGTAGTATTCTCTTCTAACTTTTTCTTGTTAGATAGCATATCTTTTAAGAATTTTGCATAAGAAGGCATCTCAGATATGGCATCTAAAAATGGAATATTAATATGAAGCTTTTTAAGAATATCAAGAAACTTACTAAACTTTTTCTCAAGTTTAGCTTGGGCTAACCTTTGAGGAAAAGGAACCTTAGGCACATACGGAGCAAGAGGTGTTGGTGGTGCTTCCTTTGATTAATCCTCGACCCTAGAGTTGTCAACTTCCTTCTCACTTGCACCTGCTTCTTCAACGACCTCCTTTGATGGCTCCTTGGTAGGAGGATCTTCCAATTACTTTCCACTCCTCAGGGTAACAACATTCATTTGGCCTTTTTGAGGTTGTTCTGTCTGGCCCGGAAAAGTTCCTAGAATCTTTAAAGATTGGCTAACTTGATTAGCAAGTTGGCTTATCTGGTTTTCCATGAGTTTACTTTGGGCTTGTAACTGTTGTATAGAGCTATTTTGGTGTTGGATGGCACTATTTGTTGCGGTTATAAAGCTCTCTAACGTCACCTCAAGGCTAGATTTCTGAGGTTGTGGTTGCATTGGTTGTTGGGTGCTGGGTGGTCTTGGTTGGAAGCCAGGTGGTGGTTGGTTATAGTTGTTGGGTTGAGGTGGATTTTGCTGTGCTTGGGTATTCTTGTATGAAAAATTAGGATGGTGTTTCCATCCTTCATTATAGGTGTTGGAAAATGGGTCATAGGGCCTTTTGGGGTTAGAGGAGTAGAAAGCATTGGCATGCTCGATTGACATCTCCTCTGTATTTTGCGAAATTTGCGGGCAATCTGGTGCAATATGACCCTGCACATTACACAATTGACACAACTCCTGTGGGGTAGTAGAGGATCCAGCTTGAAACTTATCAAACCTGCTTGTTAGTGCCTGCACAGAACTGGTTAGCATAGTTAAGGCATCAACATCAAGTTTACCTCCCTTTTTCACAGTGTTTCAGCCTCCTGGATGATAATTATCATTGGCTGCCATCTTCTCTATAAGCTCCTTTGCTTCAGTGGGGTTCTTTGTCAAGAGAGAGCCCCCAGATGCAGCATCAATGTAGATTCGGAACTCATGAGTTAGACCATTGTAAAAAGTTTGCATCAACATCCATTCAGGAATACCATGGTGAGGGCATTGTCTCTGCAAACGCTTGAATCTCCTCCATGCGTCATATAGGGACTCATCATCTGACTGCCTGAAAGTGGATAACTCGTTTCTCAACCTTGCAGTCTTTTCCTGTCCCAAGAACTTGACTAGGAAAGCCTTCACCAATTTGTCCCATGTGTCAAATGAGCCAGAACCTTCATCTCTCAGCCATTCCTTCGCCCTATCCCGTAATGAAAAAGGAAAAAGGCGAAGTCTAAGAGCATCGTCTGTAACACCATTCATCTTCATGGTATCACATTTCTCCAAAAAGCTATCAATATGACTTACTGGGCAATCATGTGGTAGCCCTGCGAATGAATCATTTGAGATGAACTGGATGAATTGTGGCTTGAGCTAGAAGTGCTTAGCCGTCACAGGTGTTCTTACGATGCTAGAAAGGACTCCGGTAGTCGTATCAGGAATACCGTACTCCAAAAGGGTTTTCGTTGGTTGGTCTACCATATTTCTCCTACGTCGATTCCTTGTTCTCCTTCTTCTTATAGTTGCCTCGATCTCAGAATCAAATGGTTCAAGATCTTCTGAACCTGAGCGTCGTGTTGGCAAGCACAAGAAAAAATAGAGAAAAAAGTATCAAAAACACAAGAGAGAATAGCCGAAGCAACAAAATAAGCTTAGCAAAAACGAATCACAAATAATCTAATGAAACCGTTGGTCCCCGGCAACGGCGCCAAAATTTGATAGGCGTGTCGCGTACCTAACAAAATATAACCTAACTGACCACTACTATGTAGCGGGGCAAGCAAGGGTCGAATCCCAAGAGACTAAGGTTCAAAAATAATTAAATAGACTCAAATTCCTACTAAGCAAGAATCAATAAAGATCGATTAACTAAGGAACTAATGTATGGAAAATTCGAAAATAAACTAAAGAATATGAAGAAATCAAGTAATTAAAACATCCAAGATCAAGTATCACCACAATTACGAATGATGCAATTATAATTCTACCCCTAACATACAATTCCAATTGAATGGGGAAAAGTAAACCCTAATCAATACCAAGGACCTCTCTCGAGTATCAATGACTTCTCTGACATACAATCAAGCTTATTCTCATGGTATCATGCATATTAGAGACATTAAACACATTACTCTATCTTCCCAATCATCAATCCAACTATTCTCATGTTGAAAATCAAACCCTAGATTGATCTACTCAAATCCGTTTAAATCCAACTCTCGCTGCGATAGAAACAATGGAATAATCACAACACTAAGATTACGTCTAACCTAGTATTGGCATAATCACAATCAATTTAGAATAGCAATTGCAAAAGTCATTAGAGAATTTAAAGTTTTAATTCATGCATCAATCATAATTGGGCTACCCTAGATCTTGGAATAGAAAATCTACTCACACATATTGAAAGAGACAATAACAATCATAAATATGGAAAACATAATTGAAAAGCAATTATAATTGAAAGAGAATGAAGTAGAAGTGAATACCAAGGATTCTTCAATTGAAAGGAATTAAATTGTTGAAGAACAATGCTAAAATCTTGTGCAAGGAATTAAAATTGCTTCAAAATGATAAACTAGAATTCTAGAGAGAGGAAGTGGAATAATGGAAAACTGAAAAACCCGTTCTAATGAAAGTTACAAAGGGTATTTATACCCCTTAAAAAAAAAAAAAAAATTAAATCGGAGCTGCGCCATAACTGTGCCCGGTCTGCCCGGGCTGTGCCTGCCCGATCGGGCACTTAGGATTAAAGTTGCTAAAATTGCTTCCGCTGGAGTTCTTCTTCGCCCGGTCCAACCGGGCAGGTTGAGCCCGATCGGGGGCGAGACCAAAATCATGCTGCCTTCTCTTGAGCTTCGTAGCAATGTCAAGCTTCTTCTACCACGCGCCCGGTCTGACAGGGCATGGGTTGCCCGATCGGGCGCATGGCACTGCCATTAGCCTGACTTCCTCTATTGCGCCCGATCTGACCGGGCATTCCTAGCCCGGTCGGGCACAGCTATAAATGCTGCTTTTCTTCCTCTTTTCTCCTTAGTCTTGGTTCGTTGTTTAGCTTGCTTATACGTCCTCGTCCACTAACATCTCCAAATTGCTCTAAACATGTCCGAATTGTCCGGAAAACTCCAAATTCCTGTAAAACTTATAAAAATACACCGAACACACTAGAGAAGAGATTGTTAGCTGGAAATGGCTCGAAAGAGCCTAAAACCATGCAAAAACGTAATGAAAAGTTGGGAAGATATATGTATAAAACGTGTATATCACATACTCAAACACCAAAGCAGCATCCAACATTAAAAAGGTGGAATTCCACCTAGTAGGCACATCAAGGCACAACAACTTTTTAGAGTTGATTTTTTCTTCCACAACACATTTTTTAAACCTTACCAACCTAGAAGGGGATTGTTTGATGAATCTTACAGCTTGTCTCACACGATTAACAGACTCATTAACAATTTTCAAGCCATTAGACACAACCAAATTCACAATATGAGCAACACAACGCATATGAAGGAACTGACCCTTAAGAACCCCAGCTTTCCAACCATTTATTTTCCTTCTCATATATCCTATTGCGGTATCATTTGAGCTAGCATTATCAACAGTTATGCAAAATACTTTCTCAAGTTCCCAATCAAGCAAACATTTCTCAATTTCTTTCCTAATTTCCTCCCCCTTATGACTTGATATAGGACAAAAATTCAGAATACGTTTTTGCAAATTCCAGTCATTATCAACAAAGTGAACAGTCAAGCACATGTAATTAATTTGCTGAATAGATGTCCATGTATCGGTTGTTAATGAAACCCTTGAGTTACACTTTTTTAATACCAATTTCAGCTTTCTTTTTTGAGTTAAAAAAGTTTCATAACAATCTTTAGCCACAGTAATTCTGGAAGGGACATGAAATCTAGGCTCCATTACATTACAAAATTGTTTAAAGCCTACTCCCTCAACAAACTTAAAAGGCAATTCATCAACTATAACCATCTCAGATAAAGCTTTTCTAATTACAGTTGGATCATATTTCACATAAGACAATCCACTAGTACAACCACTTTCAATTTTATTGCTTTTGAAAGACAACAAACTTTGTTTTGATCCTTTAGGAGTATTATAGGGGTACTTACGGCATCTATTTATATGAGCCCACAATGGACTAGTGCCATTTCTCTTTGTACCACACTTGTATCTCATACCATAGTACTTGCAACGTGCTTCCATTCCAGTGGGTGTTTCTTCCTTGATAAAGTGCTCCCAAACCTCGGAACGATCCTTCATTCTCTTCCTCTTGGGTTCAGATTTTTCATTGTCAGATTCATGCTCCTCAATAGGGAAATTCCCTTCAACATTATCCATATTTGTGGACATTCTGATAATCTGATTTAAAACAGAAAAAAGAACTCACTCAATAACCAACAATTTTTATGCAAATCTATGAAAAACAATCAATCTATCAAAAAGAAAACATGCAATTCGAGCATAATACTATAATAGAACAACATATATTCTGAACTCTGAAGGAATATCAGCAATTCGAGCATAATACAATTCGAGCATAATAACTATTCAAAGAAAACAATCTATCACCAATTCGAAAATAACAAAGAAAACATGCAATTCGAGCAGGAAAAGAGAAGTGCAAGTGAAATCTGAAATTCAAAATAACAAAGAAAGCATGCAATTCGAGCAGGAAAAGAGAAGTGAAATATGAAATATTGAAATTAAAGCATACCGGAACACTTGAACAGGTGGTCAGCGGCGGCCGGCGTTGGAACACTCGAACGGAACACAGGTGGTAAGTAGGAAAGCAGGAAAGCAGGAAGTAGTGAGGTGGTGGATTGGTGGTGGTGGACGAACGGAGTGAGGTGGTGAGAGGGAGAGATGAGGGAAAATCTAGGGTTTTAGTGAGGGAAAGAGAAACGGCTGACTGAAACTCTGAAAGGGAAAAGGGAAAAGAGGGAAATTATTTAGGGTTTGGGTATATATATGTAGGAAAATGGGCTGAGATAATTGGGCTTATAAATTTCGGTTCGGTGTTCGGTTTTTGGTTTTTAAAATCCCAAAACCGAATCCAAACCAATATAATTCGGTTTTCATTTTCTCAAACCGATCCAAACCGAAAACCGAACAAAACCGAACCGAATTGCTTATTCGGTTCGGTTTGGTTCGGTTTTCGGTTTTTATCCAAACTACTTTCACCCCTACTAACATGATACTAACATGAATATTAGGAAGAGAATAGGAAGCATCGCAGGAATCACAATTGTCATATTTCACATTAAAGTTACCCTAAACATGATACTAGGAAGATCAAAACACCCTAACATGACACTAGGAATCATAATAACAATCTAAACATGATTTCTATATCATAATATCAATAAATCAGTTAAATTCACTTACTAGGATGCCTCGTATCTCTTTCTAATAACAAAATACACGCGTTAGTAACTTCAAGGAAAATATAAAATCAAACAATTAAATTAAATAATAATTGAAAGAGAGATTTGGGACCAAACCCTCAGAAATTAAAACCTTTCACGTCTAGGGCGAAGGCAACTTCGAATTATGCTAGGTGTATTTAGGTCTTATGAATGCGGAATTTTGTTTGTATAAGAGGGGTAGGTTTAGAAAAGATAGAGAGAGAGAAGCTTTAAGAGAGAAAGAATTAGAGAGTTGATGATTGTAGATGATTCAAAATGGAGTTTTTAGGAGGCTATTTACAGAGAAAATCAGCCAAAAAGATAGAAAAACGACCCAGAGTTCTGACGTGA